CATCCACAATGCTTCCCTCTGGCTTCAGGGAGCATGCAGCACCTCGTCGTTACCCACAGCCGGGGTACTGTGCACCCGCACCCTGGAACCTGAACTTGGGACCACTGATCGGCTGCTCCCGTCCCTCCTGCCCTAAGCGATCACTTTCGAGTGTGGAGCTGCGTGGTCAGGGCTGCTTGTAGGGTGTGCGGAGGCCTGGCCACTGTTCAGGGAAACAGTTGTCACCCCAGGGAGCCATCCGTGCCCCTCTGATGGCCCAGTCCCCTATCGGAGGGACGGAGGGGGGTGCTGGGCAGAGAAGCCTGCGGGGAGAAGGGGGTGGCATGCCTGTGGGCTCTGGAGGGGCGTAGAGTGGTGGGGACAGCTTCGTCCATTGCTGAGGGGCAGGGCCATCCTGGTGGCCCTGGGTGCGCCGCTGGGCTTGTCCTGCAGTGTCAGGTGTGGCTTGGTGCTGCGGGCACTTGGGCCAGAGAGGGCTCGGTCTTGCTGACCAGCTCCTCCCACGCGGGCCATGCTGTCTTCCCACCCTCGCCCCTGCCCAGCATCCCTGCCCAGCATCCCTGCCCAGCATCCCTGCCCAGCATCCCTGCCCAGCATCCCTGCGCCCCGGCCAGCAGGCAGCCTGGCCATCAGCTGGGCACTTCACCCTCCCGACCCCCTCCCACTGCCCTGTCCACACAGTCTGAACCACAGCCAGTGGCACCCGGGCACCACAGGGCTACTGGCTCCCCCTTCCCTTTCTGGGGTGACCTCCCTGGCCCCAGCCCAGTGTCACTTCGGTAGTTCTTCCCTTGAGTCTGAAAACCACTTTTCCGCCCGTGGCGGCACTGGTGCGTCTCAGTTCACCCAGCCCTGGAAGCAGACCCCGGTGGGTGGGACCTGGCACCTGGGCGGCCACCTCCTCCCACGGAGCCTGGGCTGCTTGGGGCAGCGGAGCAGGATCTGGGGCTTCGCGAGGGGCCCAGAGCGCTCGAGGACCAGGACGACACTGGGCTTTGTGAGAGGACACCATGGTGGAGCGGAGCGGGCATCCCTCTGCACCGCGGGGAGCGGCAAGTGAGTTTGGGAGGGCGGGGCCCCGTCTCACAGTTGATCCCGATGCGAGGAGGGGCCCCGCCCAGTGGGGTCAGCCGGGTGCTGCCCTGGGCACAGTGGTCTGCCGTCTTCCGTCTCAGGTCTGAGCACAGCCAGGCGCTGGGTGTGCTCCACAGGAAATGGTCCTTCTGAGCAGAGTTGACCGGCAGACGTGCACGGCTGACAAGGCCAGCGGTGCAGGGGTCGGAGGATGTGTGTGTCTGTGTGGGACGGGGCCACGGGCGCCTGTGGGGGAATGACCTCCGGACAGAGTGGCGCTCAGACCACCTGGGGCTGCATGTGCAGGTCTCGAGCAGATCTCAGGTGGAGGTGGATGTTCTGCGGTGGATGCTGTGGACACTACAAAGCGGCCCGTGACCTTGAAGAAATGCCGGGGAAGCAATCACGACCCACCCAGCCTCGTGTTGCAGGCACACACTCCCAACCATGTCCTTGCTGCCATGCTGGCTGCTGCCCACGGCGTCCCCTTGGGGAGCTCGGTCTGGAGCAGCGCGCAGTGGGTCTCCACGAGGGGAGACCCCATGGGATCAGGATTTTGGGGTCACTCGTCACAGACGGTGGGTGTGGGTGGAACTGTCCGGGGCCCAGTGCCAGATGCTGGAGCCCACAGGCACCTCCCTCCCTCCCCTCCTTCCTCCCTTCCAGCCAGGAAGAGACTGTGGGAAAGTCCTGCCTGAGAGCAGCAGAGCCAGGGCAGCCACGTTGGCCTGTGAGGACATGGGCGGCCAGGAGGTGGCAGTGACAGCCGGGATCAGTGAGCCTGGCCTTGTCTGGATGGGGAGAGCAGACACAGCTCTCAGCCCCTGAGCTCGCTGCACCCTGAGGGTGAAGGCGTGGCCTGGTTTGGGCTCCTCACCTCCCAGGTCTAAGAGCTTGGGTTTGGGCTCCTCACCTCCCAGGTCTAAGAGCTTGGGTTGTCCCCCGGGCAGCGGTGTCTTCCCTTGGCATGGAGCGTTCTCCCTCTGAGAGCAGAGGTGCCTCTGGTGAGGGCTGAGGAGAAGCATATTCCCCTCCTCTGTCCCCTCCTGAGGCCCCGTGCCGGCAGCCAGGGCTGTCACGGCCGAGGTCCCCCTGACTGGGGTGGGACACAGTGGGGCAGGGGCAGGGCCTTGGGCTCTGGGAGGATGGGGCTCAGTGTGTGAGGGAGGTGCGGGGCTGGAGACAAGGGGTTGACCCTGGTGTCACCAGAGCCCCTTCTGCAGGTCTGTGGGACCCGGGGCCCCCGCCCCCACCCAGGTCGGAGTCCCAGGCGGCCCGCACCGCTTTGACCTTCTCACCCTGTGCCCGCCGGGTGACCTGGGTTTATGGGCGCCTATCTCCTCCACAGCTGTAGGGCCTTTATCAGCCCGATTGCAGGAGGGCACCAGGCTCTAATTGTTTTATGGTCTTTCACACTCGGGAGGAGGACAGACAGGCACCCTGGCCGCTCGCCCACCCTGTGTGCCAGGAGGTGCTGTCTGGGCAGCCGTGCAGGGCACATCCAGACCGACCCCCTGGCATGAGTCCTGCCCCAGCCACTCCACTCTGGTCCCCTGAGCCCATCGCCCGCTTGGCCCCCCTGCCCACTGCTTTTGTGTGGGGATCTGGGCTTGGCCTGATCTGTCTGCCCATGGCCCACTGTCCCTGCCTGATGGGCACCCGGCCTCGGCACCACCTGCCCCGGGTCCTTGGCCATCTTGCTCAGCCGAGCTGTACTGACGGTGGCCCACAGTGCACTGTGCAGTCCTGCTTTGTGAGCCATGAGTGAGCTGGAGTTCTCATTCGGGAAGAGGTGGACAGTGCGGTTATCACAGCTCCCTCTGTGCCAGGCAGCAAACACCTGGTGGCACTCTGCGGCCCTGCAGGACCCTTCTTGCAGATTGGGAGAAGGCAAATCCCTGCCGCTGCTCCTCTGAATGGCACCCTTTGGAGCTGTGCAGTGCACAGCCTGTACCGATGTGCATGGCAGCTCTGAACACAAGTCTGAAAAGAGAGGACCATTGCTTGGGTACTGTGCATGAGGACACTCATGCTCTTGAGACGGCAGGCCCCGCTCTGCTCCCCGTCCTGAGCTTCTCATCCTTGGGTGTCCACCTGGTGTGGGGTCCCTAGCAGTCTTTCCCTCAGGCTGGTGCTCAGCTCAGCGGGGCCCTGGCCCAGTGCCATGGTGCCTGGTTGGGGCGGAAGGTCTGGCACATGTCACTCTGCCCTCCCGCTGTGCAGGCCCTGTGGGTGCCTCTGCTGGGTGGAGCTGGCCCACCTTCCCCAGGAGGCTGCCCGAGGGTCAGATGGCCCCATGGGCCGAGGCGGCCGGGCGTGTGGCGGGCACTCAGGGAGGGTGGCGGGAAGAGCAGTGGCAGGCGCGCACTGGAGGGCAGTGCTGCGTCTGAGGTGGATCGGCAGTGCCGTGCGGGTACGGGAGCCACTTGCCGCGCTGGCGTCTCAAGACTGCAGAGTGCTCCGGAAGAGGGCATGGTGCCCTGCGGGGCCTGAGCCCTGATCTGAGCAGCTGAGGCAGGGAGACCCAGCGCCCGGCCCTGCCTCTCCCTGGGCTTGTGCAGGGCTTGTGCAGAATGCAGGGGCAAGCTGACAGAAATCCGCATCCGCAGTTCTGACCCAACAGTTTCCCGTGGAGCCATTAAACAGCAATAGCCTCCATCCCACCGGCCTGCATGAGGCGATGTCCTCGTGTTGGTTGTGAGGAAGCCGGAGTCACTCGTGAGCCCTGTTGGGGCAGCAGCAGGGTCTGAGCAGCCCCGTTTGGCTGGGCCCACCTTCCCCTCCGCTTGTTCCCTCTGCTTGCTTAGTCTGCTGCGTGTGTTGCTGGATGTCATACCTTGTGGCCTCCCGTCCATGTTGGAACATTACCTCCAATCCTTTGTGGAATAAGGCATGGCAGAGATAATAAATTTAGTTTAAAGCTGTCAGGCTTATTGACAGGGTGCCCAGGGCCCCGAGAGAATCCACAGACCCGAGGGCTTCCGGGCAGTGGGTGCGAGGAGCTCTCAGGGGATAGCAGCAGCCGGAGCCAGGCCAGTGGGAGCTGCGGTCTGTGGGGCCCAGGGTTGCTCCCTGCAGTGTGGGGCATTCACAGGAGGTAGGGGAGGGTGTGCAAGGGCCCCACGCCACTGTCCCCAGTGCTCCCCCTGCCCTGTGATTGCAGCTTCACTCTTAGGTTCCTCTGTGGAGTGCCAGTCTTCCGACTGGCGTCCTGCACCCTGCACCTGTCACCCCAGGCCCCTTGAGCCCCGCAGAGGTGGTGCTGGCCTGGGGAAGCACAGTGGGCCTGGAGGAAGCCAGGAACCATGCACTCTGTCGGGCAGCATGTCCTGTGTTTGGCTGGCTCGGTCTGTCTGTGTTGCTGTGACCCTGGGTCACTGTGAGGAGAGGAGATTGTGTCACAGTCCTGAGGCCGATGTCCAGCCCAGGGGCCAGGTTGGGGAGACTTTCGTGCTGCATTGTAGGAGGTGTAAGAGGAGGGACAGAGCTTAAAGGGAACGGGGTGGATCTCAGGAGGGCAAACCCTCGCCCCCAGGATGTGACCCCTCGAGGGATGGCCCGGCTGCCCCCATGGCCGCCTCCTGGCCCGGGCCATGTTTCTGATGTGTGAGCGCTGCTGGGCCCCTGAGGGGGCCGTGCTGCCTCGTTTCTCTCCACTCCTGCACTGTGCACTCCGGGGTCTTGTGCTGAGGGCTCACCTTGCGCCTGGTCCTCCATGCTGCCGGGTGCTCCAGGTCTTCCCTGGGCCTCACGCTGGGTGCTCTCCCGCCCGTGTCCCGGTGGGCGGCCTCCTCGGCAGTGCCAGCACCCTCTGTGGTGCGAAGCCCCTGGTGTCTTCCAGAGCCCGGGCTCCCCTCGTGCGGCATAGTCCTGGCTGTCCTGGCTCTGGGACACTTGTCCCCTGCTCGCGCTGGCCCCTGGCTCCCTCACCACCCACCCCAGGCCTCTCTCCTGCAGCTCCAGCGCACACAGGGCCAGAGCGCAAGGGTGAGCTGAGGTCCCGGCCCTGTCTCCCCTCGCTCCAGATTCCGGTCCTGTGGGTCCAGCTGCTGGAGCCTCCTAACGAAGCGCTCACTCGGAGGCACCGAGAGGGCTGTGCTGCGGTCGGCACAGGGGGCAGCTCTGGCCGAGGCTGCGGTGTCTGAAGCATTTGCACTGAGCGCGTCCTCTGCCGGTGAGAGGGCCTGGCAGGTCCTGGGGGCCTGTCCAGCCCTGGGGGACGGAGCCTGAGCCAAGGGTGACTGTGGAGAGGCTCCTGGGTGGGGGGCAGCAGGTGCCGGGTCAAGAAGGGCAGTGCCCAGACAGGAGCAGTGTCCAGGCCACGCGACCAGACGGGCGACGGCGCAGCGCCACCCACTGCCTTCCAGCTCTGTGCCAAGCCCACTGGTCACAGCGGCTGTCTGTGGAGGCAAGACAGCATTAGCATATTAGCTAATTACACCAATTGAAATAAATTAATTAAAAGGCTTAACGAGATTAGTGTGTTATCTCATAGCTGTGGCCACTGTTGGCGACAGTGCCTCTGCTGGGTGGCAGGGCGGTCCTGTTGGTGGACGAGTGTGGGGTCCCACGGTCAGCCCCAGGTAGGGCAATGGCCACTGCCACCCCAGGCCTGCCCTGCAGCGTCCGGGGACAAGGCTGAAGGTGGCTGAGGGTGGCTTTGTCTCCCTGAGGCGACCGCTCAGCTGCCCGAGGGCTGCCGACCGAGCTCGGTGACACAAGCTGCACAGAGTGGGCTCCGAAGCAGGGTTCCCCAGAGCAGAGCCCAGGTCAAAGGCCAAGGCTCGATCCCTGGGTTAGATCTTGGCCCTGCTGTTCCCTCGGACGCCTGGCCCCTCAGGCCTTTGTCGACAGGCTGCTGGCGGCCAGCTTCATGACCGCTCCCTTCATCAGAAGACCCTGCCTGTCTGTGGTTCTGTCTGCATCCTGCCTCCCTGCTCCTGGACCATACTTGCAATCCCTGGCACCCAGGTGGGACTCCGGCAGGACACGGCCCTGAAGCTACCAGGGCCGCTGCAGCCTGCAGAGCGCTGCTGCCCCCTCTGTCTCCTGCCGGTGGGTTCCTCTCCAGCCGGTGCCCTTTGCTGTGCCTTGCTTTTGCCCAGGGAGGGGCAGTACCCATTCTTGTGATAAACCTGGTGCTCCTGCCCGCTGTCTGGCCATCCCCACCCTGCCCGGCAGCTCTGCATCCTTGTCTCATCTCCATGGACGTCACCCTGTCCACACTTCAGGGAGCGGCCCAGCAGAGGGGAGGCGGCTCCTGTGTCCTTCTGGGCCAGGCCCAGGGCGGCCGGTGTCAGGAGTCGCTTTCCTGCCCCTCACGCCCCTGTGAGCCCGAGGGTCCATCCTCCCTGGTTCCTGTGGCTCCTGCAGTGCAGAGGCCACCTACCCCGTCCTGCTGACCCGAGGGTGTCCATCACCCTGACGGCCCGAGGAGCTGTGGGACAGACCTGGGGGGCTCCCGTCTTGCGCAGGCTCTGGCTCCGGAAGCTCTGTGTGATGTCTCTCTGCAGGATGCCTCGCTCTTCCGCACAGGGCGGGGATGTGGCAGGGGATGAGCTCGAAGCCCCGGGTGCTGCGCTGCCGGGCTGCTCCGCGGCTGTACCTGCTGTGCCCTCCCCTGAGTACCTCGGGCGCTGTGTGGCCCCCGGCTGTCCTCTGCGGTACTCTACGCAGAGGAGGTCCTAGGTCCTTTGCAGCACCTTCCTGCAGGCGGGCAGCAGCTGTGGCAGCAATTTCAGGTCCTAGACACAGCTCCACGCTCTGGGCGAGGTGGCCGACCTGGTCAGGGATTCAGGCCCAGCGAGGTCACAGTCTGTCGCTGCCGTGTGGAGGGCTGGTCTGACGGTGCCGTCACCCCCGCATGGCCTCCACATTCCTGTCCTGGTCAGCCGCGGGAGGGAGGCCGGGTCATGGTGCGGGTGCCAGTGGTTCTGCCGTGTGAGTGGCCAGGACCATGCTGTGTGGACCAGTGTGGTAGCCTGGAGCCCGAAGGTCGGTTTATTTGGGAGGCAAGAGGGTCTGGGACACACGGAGGAGCCCGGCTGTGAGACCTGTTAACACCTGGGGGCGGGGTGGGGCCCAGGGACCTTGACGGGAGCAGACCTCTCACGGGAAGGAAGGGAGCAGTGGCTCCCAGCCTGCCTCCCGTCAGGACAGCCTGTTGGGGTTGCCGGCCGTCTTCGGGTCCCGGGACAGGAAACGGCGATGTTGAGGTGTGCACAGGGCCGCCCCACCGTGGCTGCAGCCCGTGAGACATGGTGTCTGTGGGCACAGCACGCTGCAAAGGCTGGGAGCACGGTGCGGAGTGTGACCTGAGTCACCTGCAGCCAGTGACAACCGCTGCAGGAGGGAAGGGCGGCAGGTTTGCGGGACACTCACGCTTGGCCTTGGGAGGTCTCTGGCCCTGCCCGGCTGCTGTGCCTCCCCACAGGACTTCGCGCTGTTGCTCCAAGACGAGATTTTGGCCTCGGCCTCGGAGGGCCTTGCAGACACGGGAGGTGGAGCCGGAGCACGGTCCCAGATGAAGGCAGGAGGTGGGGGCAGTGTGGCCCAACGGGTATGGCTGTGCCTCGCCTCCTTGCCAGGGTCCGATCCTAACTGTTTCATCTGCAGTGTGTATGCAGGACATCTGCTTCCAGGGAGGTGAATAAACACGGGTTCCTGCTCAGCACAGTGGAGAGCCCTGGATGTGAGATGGAGGCTAGACAGACTCTGGAAGCCGGGGAGCGGGAGGCGGCTGTCCAGGATCAAGACTGCGGGTTCCCTGGGAAACTCCAGTCCTCCGGCTGGCGAGGCCCTGGGAGGAAGGTGCTCGTCCTTCCCAGGCCTGAAGGAGGACAGGGCAGTGCTGCAGTCCAGGCCCCACTCCAGGCTGTGGCCCCTCCGCGTCCTGTTAGAATGGGCTGCCCCACAGGAAGTGAGCAGTGGCTGGCGGGGAAGCTCCACGCCGTCGGCCCCTCTTGCCCTTCACCACCCGTGGGATCAGCCACAGGACCGGATGTCCCCAGGGGCAGGGACCTTGCTCTGAACACGGCCACCTCTGGAGCATCTAACTGAGGATCCCGCAGAGCTGGGTGGGGGCTGTGAGCCCTGCAAGCACCTGAGGAAGGGACGAGAGCCCCCTGGCCTGGGGAAAGGTCTGCTGCACACCAGGCCTGTGTCCAAAGTGGGGGGCGATGCTCTGCGTAGCCTTTGGGAGCTGGGCTGGGACCCCAGGCACCGCGAGGTCTCTGTGTGGACGGGATGCTCTGTGCTCACCACAGGCCGTCAGTGTTCCCGAGTGATGCTGTGCTACAGCTTTGCATGATGATGCCCTGGGGAAAACAGAATAAAGAGCACAGAGTTTCCCTGTTTTACTTCTTAAGACTGCACTTTATTTATCTCCAAGGAAAAAGTTTAACAATGTGTACCCTCAGGGAAGCGACTCCTTTTTCAGCCTCAGCTTGCCCACCTGTGAAGTGGGACAACAGTGTAAAGGGCTCCCCAGGTGTAAAACGGAAGTCCACGTGTCATGGCCAGTGATGGGACGGGACAGATGGTGGTGGGCACCTGACCCCCACTGCTGTGCCTGCGAGTGACGGTCCTGCTCATGCCTCGTGACTGCTGAGCTCAGGGTCCCTCACTCTGCCTCCACAGCCGGGCAGCAGAGACTCCAGGACGATCAGCAGAGGAGCCGTCAGGGCTGAGCTGGTACCGGCAGAGCGGGTACTGGCACAGGACCCGAACCCGGCCGTCATCCCTGCCAGCTCTTGGCAGAGCCGCTGGTCAGGCAGATGCTGGCTCCTCAGGGGAAGCTGCTCCCGCTGCTTTTGTTCTCTTCCTGGACAGCACTGCCTGGGGTGCTGGAGCTGACCACACCCAAGACAGGGCAGCCTAGAGCCCACCGGTAGCCCAGGCCAGCAGGCGCCAGGGGCTGCCCGAGTGTGGAGAGCCAGAGCTGCCCTCCTCCCCGGGGGCGGGCCGGGCTGCTGGGTGCTCTGGAGACAGACGAAGCCCACTCGAGCGCGTGGCTGGCTGCCAGAACACAGCAGGCTCCCAGTGTCCTCTGTTCTCCACCCTGGTGGCTGACAGGGTGAGCTCTCTCCTTGGGGTGCACAGAGCTTGGGCCCAGAGTTGTGGGTTGTTCTGTGGGGAGAAGCTTTCTTTCAGCCCCTACTGTGCGGCCCGGCAGGAGGACCCAGGCACAAGGACAACAGGAGGAACAGCAGCTGAGGCGCACCCTCAGCAACTCAGGGCCCCGGTCATCAGTGGAGCAAATTATAGTGCCCCACTGCGCGTACGAATGGCAAGGGCCCACGAGAGCTCTGCACAGGTCCCTGCGTCCGACCTGCTCTCAGGACAAGCGCCTCAGTCCCGTGACAGCCCCGTTTTGTGCTGGGGCAGTGTTCACAGTGGGCCTGGGGTCCACAGAGCCTTTGGTCCTTTTGTCCCCGGCAGGGAGGGCACAGATGTCCTTGGCCTCGTGGAGTCGGGGGCAGGGCGGTGTGCCCTCAGGCACTGGGGCGATAACACTGCCCCCAGGAGTCGGGTGTGCACTGGGTACTTTATCTTATTTAGCTATTATTATTTTGCCAGCATCAGATTGATTTATTTATTGTACAAGGTTTAATCAATCTTATTATAAACACAGATGAACAGCAGACCGACAGGCCAAAAAACATATAGAACACATAAAACAACCACACTCAACTAAGGTACACTCTTAGATACTCTGGCCATGCTGGGTTAAAATTCCTTCTTCCCGTTGGCTTTTACTTTGCACTTTCTTTGTACTTTAGTTTTCTTATATAAGAGAAACCCTGTGTTGCTCAAACTCGTGTGCCTGGGCCACTCCCGCAACAGGGCAATCTCCAGGGGCCGCCCTCTTCCTCTGGTTGGCTCAGTGTGATCCCTTACGCAGAGCCGCGCCCCGCTGTGTGCAAACACTGCCTCTTTACCCACAGGCCGGTTCTCTCGTGCCCCTGGCGTCCGGGCTCACCCCGGTCGTGGCTCCGTGTGTCCGAGGGCTTCCTTGGTCCTCAGCGCGGGCAGCAAGCAGGCAGGAAAATGAGTCAAGGTCTCTGCCTGCCGCACTTGGGCGCTGCCCATGCTGTGGTGGGACAGACCTGGAGGCGGGTGGAGCAAAGGAGCCAAGGGCCTCTAGCTCGAGTGGTGCTGGGCCAGCTCTGGACTCTTTGTGCTTCACAGGGTGCTGACATGATGGGCTGCTCCCTGACAGGGCCCAGGGGACGAAGACGCCCTCAAGTACGTGCGGCGGGATGGCCCAGCCTTGCCAGGGTCCACGTGCCATCTGTGACGCTCTTGTCTCCGCCTTGGAAACAATGATGTTGTCATTATTGATGACGAGAGTGGCGGCTCTGCGTCGGGCATGGTGTGGGGGCCCGGTGGACCCCCATGGTCCCTTGTAGCCAGTGTCCCCGGGCCCCTTTCAGGGGGAAGCACTGGAGTCAGGCCCTGGATTTCCTGGTGACCTCCTGTAGTGACAGGAAGTGGGTCTGGGAGACGGGCGGTGTGATGTCTCTTCCTGGGCAGTGCTGGATGGTTACTGACCCTCGCTGCTGGCTGGCCAGCCTCTGCACTGCCCTGCAGATGCTGGGTGGGCATCTGTCTGTTACGTTTCAGCCCCTGAGGCTCCAGCACTGACCAAAGGCCAGACACCAGAGTGGAGCCATCTCAGACCCAGAGCCATCTCCAGGCCTCTGCCCCCCTCACACTCAGGCACGGAAAATGAGGCGCAGGAGGCTGATGTGTGGAGGATGGAAGCCTCAGCCTGTCCTGTGTCCCTCCCTGGATAGGGCTCGGTGGAGTGCAGGTTGCAGGCATGGGGGCCGTGGGCCGGAGGGGCTCTGTCCCTGTACAGGGGTGTCTCCTGGGGGGGAACGCTTGCTCCCTGGGCGCTGGGCCGCAATGCTGAGCTCTGCTATGCTGTGTGCAGCTCTCAGGGCAGCGTGGGGCAAGAGTTCTGCACCTGGGCTTAGTCCAGCTGGGCCTTGTGTGCGGCCACAGAGCCTGCCCCATAGGTGCCCTGTGTCCAGGGACAGTCATCGCAGGACAGGCCCTCTGCACCACTGAGTTGAGGGTGTGGTGGACAGACGTCCAGGGGTCAGTGTGTCCTTCCTGGAGCCCCCAGCCACATCACGAAGGGACACTTTCTGCCAGAGCTGTGCCCAGGCAGATGTGAGCCTGTAGCCATAAAGTGGGAGCAGGGAAGAATTTACAGCCAGGCTGTAAAGTAATAACACAGAGAGGCCGTTTCCTGGGTTCAGGCAGAGGTGAGCCGGGGTTCAGAAGTTCAGGCCTGCAGCCCCTCCTGGGCGGGGTGGCCTTTGGGTGGTGCTGCCGCCTGGTGCCCTGCCCACAGGCTCCTCCGCTGTGCCAGGGTGGCCCCTGTGGGTGCTGGGCCGGGTGCTGTGCCTCAGCCATTTCCTCGCTACCGCCTGGGGAGGACGGCCCCTCACCCTGTGGGCACAGGCGGGCGGCTGAGCTCTGCTGTGGGGGACCAGGGCCCGACTGATCCTGGCCTTCCTCCAGCCATGCGGGACTGGGCGAGGCTCCTCTTTGCTTCCTCTTTGTTCCGGTAGGATGGCACATCCTGTCCTGAGCTCTGCGCCAGCTCCGGTCTTCTGTCCCTCCTCCTCTCTCTGTGGTCCTGGGCTCAGAGATGGGGCCTTGGGTCATCCTAGCATCAGGGGTGAAAAAGTGGCTTTGGCCGGAGGAGCTCAGGGAGCAGGCGTCAGGTCCAGTTTGGTGCTGCCCTGGGCGCTGTACCTGCTGAGGGCACCTGACGAGGCCTGAGTGGCGGCCTCTTTTGCGGAGTCTCCCTGTGGCAGCTCAGTCTGGAGGAGGGGCCCGTCACGCCTCCCAGCTGTGGCTCCACAGGTCTCACAGGACAAAACTGAGTATGGAGGCGTCAAACACGTGGCCAGTCCCGGGGACTGTGTGTCAGCACCCTCCCTCCTGGTCCCAAAACCAGGGGGCCCTGTCCTGTTCTTCTGGCCAGCTGGGCACAGCTTCTGACTTGGGACTCCAGAGGCAGTAAGAGGTGGAGCAGAGGTATTGGTGGCTCCCAGGGCCCCGGGGGTCTACTCTTCCGTAAGCCCAGGCTAAGGACAAGGACGAAGGCGCCATGCAGCTAGAGCTGCGGCTGCCAAGGGGGTCAGGTGCACGGTGAGGCCAGTGTGGGGGTGCCTGAGTCCTCGTCCAGGGGCCCTGACTTTTTCTTCCCTGGGACCACAGAAGCAGCCTGTTACTGGCACAAAGACTGGGATGGGCCCAGGGTGGTGGCGAGGACAGGAGGCTTCTGTGGACCCTGACCAGGCTGGGAGCTGGGTGGATGGGGACCGTGGGGGCCAGGCTTGGGGAGGGTGGAGGAGCAGGGAGGTGGCCGGCTGGAGCCCACTGGCCTTGGTGCCTCTGTCCCCTCTGCCACCTGAAATTATGTGATTGGACAGGTGCTTCTCAGTGCCCCTCCATCCGCAGAGACCAATTAATTGTTCCTAGCAGGCGGCCTGGCCCCTGGGAAACGCAGAAGGTGGGGCGTCCTCACTGTGAGGGTTGGGAAGGCAGAGCTGGCAGTGGGGGTCACACACCAGGTCCTAGGCCTCTGGGCAGATGGCAGGGCCGTCGCCTGTCCTGGAGGCTGGAGGGGCTGAGATCAATCGCACAGGAAGATTCTTAGCCTGGCAGGCACTTTGGGTGCTCTGCTGGTGGTCCCAGACGTTGTTAACCTGACCAAAGTGAACGGTGAGGAGGGGTGGCAGTGGAACCCACGTGAGCGGGCAGGTAGTCAGACAAGAGCCGAGGGTGCCGACGGAGGTGCACTGACTCAGGCCAAGTGGACCTCAAGTGCACAGATCTTCCCAGAGGCTCCTTTGTTTGTCCACCTGAAGAAGTCGGCCCTGATGGTGTTCTTGGCTGTGGGGAAACTATGGACGCACGCCCTGGGAGAAGATGATCTAGATCACAGCAACCGGGATGCCCTGGATGCCATGTCTGTCATCCGAGAAAGTCATCCCAGATCCAGGAAGCCCAAGCTCTGAGCAGTCCTGTCGAGAAAGCGCGCCCGAGGAGCAGCTGGGCCCTCCAGCAGCACTATGGCATTCTCGGAGACCTCAGAACCCGCACGCCCTGCCTCCCAGGACAACTTACTGTGGTGGCTGGCCCAAGTGACATCCAGGCCCAGGCCCTTGAAGCAGTGAGGGGCTGTGGGCTCCTCTCCAGCTCGTCGCCCTGAGAGCCTGCATGCATGGGGCAGAGCCAGAAGGAGGGGCCTGCTGGGACTGTGGCCCTGGTCCTATACCCCAAGCCCCAGATGTGCCAGCCCCCCATGTGCTCAGCACAGGGCACTTCGGGAGCCACAGGGCCGCCGGAGCTCAGACGCCAGTGTGGTGCATAGTAGGTACTCGTGGGGTGACCTAAGGAACCAGCGCTCATCCCCAGGGTCACCTGGAAGTTGAAACTGGACTTTGCTCTAAGGACAGACACGCAGCATCACGATCACACCCTGGATAAAGAAACAACTTTGTCCTGGGCTTGATTGCATCGTGGGACAAATGCAAGGAGGGCTGAGGATGGGGAGCTGAGTCCAAGATCCCCCAGACTGGCTGCACCTGCCTTCCTGCCAAGTGGCCCAGGCAGCCAGCCCCTGTCTGTGTGTCCGTCTGTCTGCATCCCTTTCCTATCTCTGCTTTTTACCCTTGGAAGCCCTCTCTGGACCCCTCGACCCCTCTCCCAGCCTCTGCCCCAGCTTTGCCACCCTTGATCTCGGGGTCTTGCCCTGGGTGAGTCTAACCTGCCGTGCCCACGAGGTCTTGGTCTTGAGAGGGCAGCAGTCTTACACGACACTCTTGTCCTACAGAAGTCGGTTGGGGTGCAGGGAATCTCTGTGTGTTTCTTGTAGTTACATAGAATCTATGATTATTTAAAACCAAAAAGTATGATAAAAAACATCATGTATTCCAGGATTGTCTTTATGTGGCTGGAATTAGACTGCGTGTTTGAGGGAGTTTTGGGGGCTGAATTTGGGAGGTCTTGGGGGGCTCCAGGCCTTCTTGCCTGGATGTGGCGCAGCTAACGGTCAAAGCCCTTGCAACCCCTCCCTGGGCCCTGAGTGAAGGGCTTCCCCCCAGAACTGAGGCTTTGCACAAGTGCTGGGCAAGGTGACGCTTGTACAGTGGGATTCTTCCAAGGGCCCTGGAGCTGGCTTGTCCTTGGAGCCTCTTGGGAGAGGCAGGGCCAGGATGTCACAGGCTTGCATGGGTTTGAGCCAGAGGGACACAGGACAGGCAGGGTCTGCCCAGTGGGCCGAGGCTGGCCCTGGCCCTGGGCACCCCTGTTGCTTGGCACTGAGGTGGAGGCCTGGAAACCGTGCCCTTAGGAAGGCTCCTTTGCAGAGGGGTCAGAGCCGGGCTAGAGGTGAGATCTTGTTGGTGGCCCCTCCCTGAAGTCTTTTGCTGGGGTTTTCTGTGGTCCTCAAGCCCTTGAGAGAGGGACACTCACTCCTCCCTTCCCCATCTGCAAATGGGGACGTTGGGGACCCCTGTTCAGGGTGCCTCTCGAAACCCGGAGCCCTTTCTCGGCACGATGTTTCTAAATGGATGAAATCAGCACTGAAGGTTGTAAGAGGACCAGTGAGGTCGAATCGTCACGCGTTAGTGATGCCGGAGTCGTGTGCTTCCGTGTGCACAGCCAGCTCGCTCTGAGTCATCACTGCAGGGCAGAGGGGACGCTGGCACAGCCACAGGCTTTCCACGTGCCCATGCGAGTGTCATACGCATCCACGACAGGGTGCACACCGTGTCACAGAGAAGCTGGTGGGACACGGGTATCTAAACCCAGGCCACTGGCACCATAGCAAGGAAATGGTGGGGCCACAGCTGAGGAAGGCTGCAGCTGCAATGCAGCGTCCCGTGGAAGCCAGCGAGGAGGTCTAAGTGAAGCCCTCATCCGCCCAGTCTCCCCTCAGAGCCTGTTTTGCACAGGGTGAAATGCATGTTTCCCAATACTGCTGATTTTCTTCCAGAAGAGGAGGGGACAATCCCTCGTTTCCCTCTGTGACAGCACAGTGGAGAGGTACGCAGGCCAAGGGCTGTGAAATCCTGCCACATTAAATCCCAAGCCCGGTAAACACCCCACAGGGAGATGGGGTCTTGAAGGTTAGAAGCCTTGGCTGTGGCCTCGGGAGCCAGTGGGTGGGAGAGCAGGAAGCTCGGTTGTGGGTGGTCAAAGACTCTCCTGTGACCTCATTTTCACAATCCATACATTGGGTGATAAGACCCAGCCATACGGTGCTGTGATGAGGATGGAAGGGTCAGAACTTGAGCAGGTGCCAGTCTTCGGGGCTGTCTGCTCTGCATGACCCAGATAACTGCACAGTGCTTGGAGAGGGTCTTAGTTACTTTCTTGTTGCTGGGACAAAATATCTGA